TCAATTTACAGGAAAAGCCTTCAACAAATTCAATGTCCCTTCATGTTTAATACCCTGAAGAAACTCGGTAAGAAAAGATTATACCTCAGTTGGGCATGGTGGCACACACCTACAATCCTAGCACTCAGGAAGCCACGGTAGAAGAATTGCCACTAGTTTACGAATAGCCTGGGCATATAGTTAGCTTAATGTTTAACACCAGTCTGAACTACATAGCAAAACCCTGTCTCCAAAAAAAAAAAAAAAAAAAAAAGCTTAAATTTCAGTCCTCAGTATAGCAAAGGCTACAGATGACAAACCCACAGCAAATAGCATTCTTAATGGGGAAAAACCTAACGAATTTTATCTAAGGCCTTGCAAGCCCTTTATGGCACATGGGCTCAGCAGGAAGCAAGAATTTTATTCAGGCTATGCCAAAGGGAGCCTAGAGTGCCAAGTGCTTTGTGAGATCATCTCCAGCTCATTATTAGGAGGAGGCAGAGGGCAAAAAGTGAACCAGTGGATCAGAAGTAGCAAGCCCAGCTCACAGTGAGGGAGGAAAGAGTTGACTTGTGCTGAGTGTGGCCTCCAGAACCATGGCTTCATGGAAGGTCTTTTACTCTGAATGCCATGAATTGCATGAAAGCTTTCAGCTAAACAGATTCACTGAACTGAAGGACATAGGGTGCAAAATGCCCCAAGATGACCTGCAGAAATTGCTGAATCCTTATAAGAGAATCACTTCCAAAACACCGAATACCTTGGAAGCAACCAAAGAGGTACAAGACTTCTGCAAGGAAAACTACAAAACTCTGAAGAAACTGAAGAAAATTCTAAATGAAAAGACCTCCCACGATCATGGATTAAAAAGAATTAGTGTTGTTAAAATGGCCATATTACCAATAGTGTTGACAGATTCAATCCAATCTTATACAAATTCCAGTTGCACTCTTCACAGAACTAGAGAAGAAAACCTAAAGTTCATATGAAAATACAGACCCAGAATAGTGAAAATAATCATATATGTATATATATATGTTTTGATACTGGCGCTCAAACTCACAATCTCGTGCTTGCCATTCAGGTGCTTATACCGCTGAGCTAAATCCCCAGCCTTAGTGTAAAGTAATCTTAAGCACACTGGGTACACACCCCAAGGTAAAGTTGGCATACTATAGGAATACAGTAAGACTAGAGGCATCGAGGTACTGTAGAGTTGATTCCAAATTACACTACAAAGCCATAGTAATAAAACAGTATGGTCCTTGAATAAAAACAGACATATAGACCAATGGAATAGATGAGAGGATACAGAATGAAATGCACTACAACCATCTGATTCTTGACAAAAGAGCCAAGAATATATATTGGAAGACAGGTAGTTTTTTAACAAAAGGGTGCCAAGAAAGTTTATATATATGCAGAATCCTATAGTAAATCAAATAAAATGGATAAAAGACCTAGGTATACTTGAAACTTTGAAAAGGAATAAAGCATAGGTGAAATACTTGAAGCCATAGTCACAGGTAAAATCTTCCTGAATAGATTTCCAATAGCACAGGAAATAACAAGAATCAAAACTAGGAATATAGCAAACTAAAAAGTTTCTGCACAACCAGGGAAACAACAGGATAAAACCTGATAGAAGAAAATCTTTGCCAGCTCCTCTTCTGACAGGAAATTAAAATCTGCCTGTAAATATATAAAGAATTCAAGGAATTTAACTCCCCCAAATCAAGGATTACAATTAATAATTGACAAATGAAGAAGTACAAATAGTAAATAAATATACAAAAAGGTTCAACATCTTTAGTCACCAAGGAGATGCAAACCAAAACTATACTGAGATTCTGTCTTGCTCTAGTCAGAATGATTATCATTATGAACACAAAAAAAAACAACAAAAGTAGGCAAAGATGAGGGATTAGCTTTTCCACACTACCGGTGGGAATTTAAAAAGTTCAGCCACTATGGAAATGGTATGGAAGTTCTCCAGAAAATTAGAAATAGAACTATTATACATCCCAATCGTACCACTTCTGGGTACACACCCCAAGGGTAAGGTCGGCATGCTATAGGGATACCACCATACCTCCACTTACTGTGGCACCATTCACAAAAGCCAACATGGAATCAATCTGGATTGCATCAACAGATGCATGAATAGAGAAATTGTGGTATGTAATCACAATGGAATTATTATTCAGCTGTAGAGAATAAAGTTATGTCATTTTCAGGAAACTATGACTAAAGAGCATCATATTAGGCAAAATAAGCCAGACTCAGAAAAATGAATATTGCCCTAATATTCAGATTCTAATATTCAGAATCTAAAAAAAAATTTAGATTATTTAGAATTGAATATTTAGAATATTCAATTCCAATATTCAGAATCTAAAAAAAAAAGACAATATAAAAGTAGGAGGGAAAACCCTCCAAATTATTATTAGACAAGAGGAAGCTAATAAATGGGAAAAAGTTGCAGTAGAGGGTAACAGAGGGGTTAGACATGATCAAAATAGACGCATATGTAAAAATGCTATGTTAGAAACAATACTTTGGTGCTCTCCTGCACGGGGCAGCAGGAGCAGTGGCACTCTGCCACCGGCCTGCTCACCAGCCATCTGAGTTATGGCAGCCTGAAGCCCCGACGTCCTGATTAGTGATGATGAACCAGGCTATGACCTAGATTTATTTTGTATTCCTAATCATCACACTAAGGTTTGGAAAAGCTGCTTATCCATCATGCACTAATTATGAACAGGACAAAAGGCTTGCTGGAGGTATGATGGAGATGGGATGTCATCCCATTGTAGCTCTCTGTTCTCAAGGGGGGCTGTAAATTCTTTAATGACCTGCTAGATTACCAAAAACACTGAACAGAAATTTTGATGAATCCATCCCTATGACTGTAGAGTTTATCAGACTGGAGAGCTACTGTAATGAATAGTAACAGGGGACATCAAAGTAATTGGTGGAGATGATCTCTCAACTTTAACTGGAAACAATGTCTTGATCATTGAGGATGTGACTGACGCTGGTAGAACAACACAAACATGGCTTTCCTTGGTCAAGCGGTATCACCCAAAGACAGTCAAGGTCGCGACCTTGCTGGTGAAGGAGACCCCGCGAGTGTTAGATATACACCAGACTCTTGGATTTACAATTCCAGACAAATTTGTTGTTGTGCATGCCCTTGACTGTAATAAATACTTCTGGGATTTGAATCAGGTTTGCATCGTTAGTGAAAACCAAATACAAAGCCTGAGAGTTGAAGCTGACTCAGGAAACTTTGGGAGTCCCATCTATATTGCCAGAAGGATTATTAGATGTTCTAGTTTTGTGGGCCTCTGTTTAAAGTTTTCTACCTTTGAATTTTATCTATTTTGTATTTTGTATCTATTTTGTATCTTAGAAATGTCAGTTGCTGAATTCCTTCACTTTTTATGTGCACTGGGAGCCTTTAGACCATCAGTTCTCTAAGGGTGGGTTGCTTAACTTGTGAATGGAATAAAGCAAAAACAAAAAGCTTCATAAACTACACCTCTATTAAATAAGAATATTAAAATTATGTCTGTAAGAAACACTTAAGGAAAAAATAGTAGCTTTTTAATTGGTATTTTAATTTTTGTATATTTAGGAAACAACAGAAATGATCAAATACGGTTCATTATATCACCATTGTATTTTAAAAAGTAAGAAATTGTCAATATTTTCATTGATATTGGTGACAGCATCTATGAGGTTTTGTTCAGTTGAAAAAATTCTGTCTCGGTAGTGTTGACTTTTTTTTCCCACTAGTTCAACATTATTTCTCATTACTCTTTGTCAACAGTTTCATTTAAATACAAATAAATAAGTTTCAGAAAGTTAAAAAATAATACTTTATAAAATTAATAAAAATTAATGACATATATTAAAAATAAAAACAAAAAGCATCTCTCCATAAGAAAATATATGCAAGTTTCCGTCCTCACAGCTTCACTGGATCTTCATTTTTCCTATGAAAGCTCCTGTGTGCATATAAAAGTATTAAATACATGTGTATATTTTTCTCTTGTCAATCTGTTTTATGCCAATTTAATTCTTCAATTTAATTCTTATTTCTTCAATCGCTGAACCCAAAAGTACAGAAGAAATACTTTCTGCTTCTAAGAATGTGTTAAAGACAGAAATTATAAGTTTGCACATACAGAAAACCTGTGAGCTAGAAAAAAGATTCTTAACTGGTGGTAGGGAGAGAAATGTACAGCACGGCAGATAGGCAGAGAACGATTTGCCAAGCCACACTAGAAAGCCGATTGTTGAATTTCTGCTGCTTTACATCTCAGACTACATCTGATTCTGCATGAATTGGTTGCTAAGAAGGGGTGGGGGGAGATAAACATTGGGAAGCTGTTAAGTAACGTGGCTTTTCTTTCCTTTCTTGAATCCCCCTATCTTTTCCCACAGGACTGAGGTTTCTGCTTTTGGTTCCTGTAAGTATCCTCATTCCAGGTATCCCATAGAAAAGGGCACCTTTACAAAAAAGGCCAGATCACTTCCTGTCAGGTTTTTCTTGGGACATTTTGCAAGTAGGAAAACAGATAATACTATAGTTATTTCCTTAGTTAGTGCTTTGCCCTGGTATGTCTGAGAAGAGCAGCTCAAACAGTGCATTATAAGGGGCACCACACTCTTTCATTTTCTTTATTCACATGCTATAAAATCTACCCTTTAAAGGGACACAGTGCAGCAACTGCTAGTGTATTCATAAACTTGTGCTACTGTAATTCTAAAACGGTTTCATCAGTTCCTCTGTTTTCTGTTCACCTCAATTCCTGGTAAATGCTAATTTATCTTCTGTCTTTTCTGAACATTGCATACAACTGGAATTTTATATGTTTTTATGGCCATTTGTGCCTAGTTTTTTCCATGAAGCATTATGTTTTTAAGTTTCATTCATGTTGTGGCACATGTCAATATTTTTATTTTTTTGGTGGACTAAGATGCCATTTCATTGATAAAGAACAATATGTTGATCCATTTACCAATATTTTTTATTTTAAAGAGAATGAAATAAAAGAGGACAGAACAAAGCAAGTCAAAACAGAACAACGCAAGCAACACAGCATTTCAGAACAAGACAACCGGATATTAACAGTAGCTACCATAATGTCTCTTTTCTTTGAAATAGTTAAGCATAACTTCACATACAATAGTGTCAAATGTAACAAAATAGTATAAAACTATTCAAGAGAATGAAAGTGTTACAGGACATTCAAACCCAAATAACAGAAAATGAACAATGGCTTCTCATTTTCCATAAAAATATTTTATATGCTAAAAAATATTCTCATTTTCCATAAAATTTTTTTTGTACTATCACACATAATAAAATCCAGTAAGACACAAGACAGAACCAATGGAAACAGAAGAACAAAAGCATGGTAGGACTTCAAAACAAGATGATATTAAATCAGCAAGGCTGCCATAATGTCTTGTTTTCTTCAAAGTAGCTGTTCATAATATGTTGATCCATTTACCAATATTTGAATTGTTATAACTTTTTTATTATTGTGAACAGTGCTGTTATGATCATCTACAGGTATGGATAAATAAGATGTGATCAAATACTTGGAGAATGTTTAAATAAAAAATTTATCATAATAAAAGACACATTGCTGTTAATTACCCTCAAAATACTCCCTCTTGCTTCTAACACACTTATCCCATCACTCCTGCCACTTTCTTTTTTTTTTTTTTTTTTTGTCTTTTTCGTTTTTATCGGTACCAGGGATCGAACTCATGACTGCCTGCTTGCAAGGCAGGCGCTTATGCCACTGAGCTAAATCCCCAGCCCCTTTTCCTGCCACTTTCTAAAGCAATCTGGAAAACGTTTTGGGTGAGTGTCCTTATGAGATATGCTAAAAAAATATGGTGAATGCTATTGCCAAGTGCCATCCAACAGAAAGGGAGATTCATAAAAATACTACAGTGTGTCATCATCATTGTCTATCTAATACACCATATCTGGGACTGTGTGATTTCTGGCTCTTCCCTAAAGCTAAAATGACGGTGAGAGGAAAATGTTTTGAATCAACTAAAAACATCAAGGTGGTCATGACAGTGTGAATAAAGACATGAAAGTGGATTTCCAGACCACTTCAAAAATTTGTAAAAATTACAGGATGAGTGTGTTTGAAGCAATGAGACTATTTTGAGGGAGAATTGTTGGGGACCACAAATTCACAGTGTCTGGTTTTGTGTATTTCCCTGTGGGATGAAAGGAAGGATTGGGATTGATGTAATACCCATCTGGGACTCCCATTGACTCTTCCAAGCATAAGATCATCTACACATTCTTAAGTCATTTGAGGATTATACACAAGGATGAGATATTTCTAAACATAAGATCATATCTGTGCTTTCTTAAATCATCACAGGATTATACTCAGGTCAAAATATTTCAAACATAAGATTATCTACGTCCTCTGGAGTCAGAGTCTTTGGATGAACTGTAATCCCTTGCTAGCCCCGCCTATCACTATATAGACCAAATAAATAGTGGCTGTTTGGGGAGTGGAGGAAGTCAGGGCCAGAGACATTTACTTCCTAGCTGTTGTTGGAATACTTGTCTCTGTTTTTTATTTTTCTCACAACATTTTCAAGATTGACAATCAGGACCCTTGGCCAGGTTCCCAATATTTGGTGCCCAGCACTACCAGAACACATGAACTTCAAGCCACACCAACCACTATCAAGATGTTGACAATCTACTGGATCTTGCATTACCAAGTTAAAAGTAAGTGGAGCATTTTACTAATTATATAGCTCAGACACAATTAACAAACAGAAATCTGTTGTTGGAGGCTGTTCGTAAAAGGTAACTATGGGGCAATTGTATTCTTTATCTGCTGAAGAGAAAGAACTTAGCCAATTGATTATGAAGCTGTTAAATGACGCAGACCTCAAAGTCCATCAAAACACATTATTAGATTACTCTGTCAGATAACTAAATTCTATCCTTCCTCTCCCAAAGCAGGCACACTCGATATGAGAGTTTGGGATAAAATAGGTGAGAGTTTTTATGTAGCTACAATCCAAGATAAAAAAATACCCAATTCAAAACAATAGCTACATATAACTTGGTGAAAGTGGCGCTTCATCATTGCAACATAACCTAGAAAATAAGGCAGACCAACAGCCAGGTACCACTGCAATACACTGTACCTATGCAGACAAAATGACTATAAGTGAGGGAAATAAGATGGAAAAGAGTTGCATAATGAATAAGCCAGATCACTATGATAATATGATTCCCAACGGGTTGCTAGAGAAAAACGAAGCATGTTTAACAAGTATGGATAATCAGATATATTCACTTTTACAAGAAATTTTTAATGCAATCTGAAACTTTTCCAATTTACCCACATGCTCAGATTCATTTTCTGTATCTCTTTGGAAAATAACACTTCTGTTGCTATGCTTCCTACAGTACCCTCCTCTCCCATACCAAGATCTGAGACCAGAAAGGACCCTCCTCCTTCCCCTCCTCCAAGGAAAGCAAAGTATAGTGACATGACACTATATCCATAGGCATTAGGCTTGCCAATCATAGCAGAGACAGATCTGGGAAACTCAGCCCATAGACACAATATGCACACAGCTTTTAACTTTTGTTGAAAGAATCGAGGCAGATCATAATTGATATCGGAGTTCAGGATCAATATACTCTTGGTTGCTCAGATAACATAATTCAAGACTTCCAAATGGTGACAGGTGGTGTAACCCGTTTCACTCACCCAGTTCCTACATCGTGAATCACATTTAAAGACACTCATTTCAGAACAAGCTCAGAATAATCAAGATAGTAAGGCTAAAAACTTACAAGCTATTACTCAGGAAATGTTATCTGGCATGGGCAGATATGCTGATTTAAAGGTTCAAGCATGATCCCTTGCCCCTTCTCTTCACACAGTGCAAAGAACTACTATGCTGAGCATAGATTTCTGTCTGAGAAGATGGTACACCCAATAAATCATTTACCCAGGTATTCCAAGATTCTACAGAAACTTACACCCAGTTTGTAGCAAGATTGCAAGAGGCTATACGTAGACAGAGTTCTCATGACAGTGCAGCTAGAATACTTCCCTGTCAGTTAGCATATGAGAATGCCAATAAGGAATGTAAATGAGCTTTAGCCTCAGTGCTTCGTACTAAAGACTTACCTACTTACATACACACATGCCAAATATGGGACCTACCATTCACACTTCTGCATTCATGGCACAGGCTGTATCCCAACATGTAGCCCTTAAGGCTGATGTGATAAAATGTTTTAATTGTGGCAATCAAGGACACACAAACTCTGCCAGAACCTATAAAGGCATCACTTCCCTCAGCTGTGCTTACTATTACTAGACAAGGTTCAAATTCACCGTGTAATCTGTGCCCACGTTGTATGAAAGATTTTCACTGGGCAAAGGACTGTAGGTCTAGATTTCATAAGGATGATTCAACCCTGCTCCAGGGAAACAGAGAATCAGCCCTTCCTCAGAGCCAGGCATAAACTCAGGGGATGGTATCAAATGGTATCCTGCTATCTGATGCACTGTTGAACCAGTTGCATCTGGTCCAAACCAAACAAACATTAGTTCCTCTGTCTGGATGAGAACAAAGTGTGATATTAAATCCCTCCTACAAGGAGCCACCCAGGGTGCAAATTTAGATTTACCAGCAGCTTCCTACATTCATTGATGGAGGGGAGAAACCAGTTTTAATTCCCACTGGAATCTATGGGCCATTGCCAAAAGGGACCACGGGATTAGTTATTGGAAAATCAAGCTCAACTACTAGAGGACTTACTGTAATTGCTACTATATTAAACAGTGATTGTCATCAAGAAATATCAGTTGTGATATGTTCCACCAACATATGGGGATTGAACCTGGTGATCTGATTGCTCAGATTTTACTCTATCCCACAATTGGCTCATCTCCTGCTCTCTACCCTTCACACAAGTCTGATAAAGGTAGGTATCTGAGCAGAGAAATTTATTTTTTTCAGGATATTACTGCTGATAGACCTACTCACACTATTAAATTAAATGGAAAATCCTTTACTGGACTAAAGGATACAGAAGCTGATGTCACTATAGTCAATAGCCAATCTTGGCCATCTGCTTGGTTCATTAGACCTGTCTCCACACCCTGTTAGGCTTAGGCTCCTCTCAATCTGTATCTCACAGTGCTATACTACTTCCATATATTGGTCCTAATGGGCAGACAGGTATCATAACAGCATTTATCATACCCATTTCCATTAATTTATGAGGAAGAGACCTTATGAAAGAGTGGGGCACTGTCCTAATTATTTCTGTCTCTCAGAAGAACATATCTCCCACTAACAAGAAAAGGCTAAAATGGAATGTTGAGAAAACAAAGGTTTGAGCAAGAACTTACAGGGTTGTAAACTTCCAGTTGAGCCTTTAATAAAACCAGGTGGATCTAGAATTGGATATGAGTCAAATTTATAGTGAGGGCCACTGGCATTTCTCTGCCTATTTCTGCACTGCCAATTCAATGGGAAAATATAGAGCTGAAATGGATTCCTCAATGACCCCTAACTCAGGAAAAGTTAAAGATCTTATTGACATTAGTAGAAGAACAGCTACAATAGGTTATCTTGAGCCATCTGTTAGTCCATGGAATACCCTTGTGTTTGTAATTCCAAAAAGATCAGGCAAGTGGAGATTAATACAAAGCTGGAGAGCTGTAGATGCTTGCATGTTGCCTATGAGGGCATTATGATCTGGTCTAGATAGTGTTACTGTAATCCCACGGCACTGATCTTAAAGACTGCTTTTTAAATATCCCACTCTCTTCTCAGGATCAACCTTTTTTTTTTGCATGTTCAGTATGAGGCATTAATTTTCACTAACCAGCCAAACATTTTCAATAGACTAGGCTTCCATAGGGAATGGCAAATAGTAACAGGTTTGTAGCACAAACTTGGAAAAGATGCAGAACTCAATTCTCTCAAGCTTATATTATCCACTATATGAATGAAATCTTACTTGCTATGTCCTCTAAACTAATTTACTGATGCTATTTGAAGAAGTCAAGAGAGATTTACTTGCTTTTGGCCTTCAACTAGCACCTGAAAAACTACAAATGTTAAGTCTTTACAGTTATTTGGGCTCTATTTTTTCTGAGAGGGTAATCAAACTACAAAAGATTCAGATAAGGATAGACAACCTACAAACTTTAAAGGATTGCCCAAAACTGTTAAGAGATATTAATTTGCTTAGGCCCAAATTAGGCATACCAACTTATCAGTTATAAAATTTATATGGTATTCTTCAAGATGATAAAGATTTAAATTCTCCCCAGAAACTCACAGAAGCAGTCAAAGAACCAAAATTAGTTGAAAAATGTCTGCATTCTAGGCAATGTTTTAGAGTTGATATTATTCAACCTATTTGTTACAGACTCCTCATTCTCCTATAGGAATGTTAGAACAATGGGTTAATAAGATTCTTTCTCCTATGGAATAGCTATTCTTGCCAAATCAACTAGTAAAAACTCTCCAGTTATATGTAAAATAAATAGCAAAAATAGTGACTATGGGAAGAAATAGAACGTGTCAGCTCTTTGGACATGATCCAGCCATCATTGTAGTACCAATAGACGCTCAACAGAGACAGACATTGCTACAAACTACCCCTTTCTGGAAGGTAGCATTTTCTCAGTTCCTAGGGACAACAGATAATCTATACTCTACTAACCCTTTTTACAATTCTTCCTTCTCAATTATGCTAGTCTCCCAAAGGTCACTCATTTCAAGCCATTGACGGGGCACCTACCTACCATACAGAGGGTTCTTTTAAGGGGAAAGCAGCTATCTGTAGCTGCTCCTCCCAGCATTCCTTGTCTATGAAGGGGGATTCAGCACAGCCCTCAGAAATAAAGGCTGTTCTTATGTTTTAGAACAATTTACAGACCAATCCCCTAATAGATTGACTCCTCTTACACAATATATCTGACCCGAAAGATTGAATCTCTTTCTATTTGCTCCAACATTGAGTCTACTTTATTACAACTATTTTCAAAACTACAAAAGGCTATACTTAACAGAATTGCTCTATTCTTTATTGATCAGATTCGAGTCCATTCTAATCTTCCAAGACCATTGTCAATGGGAAAACATAAAGCAGATGCTATTGTCAACTTGATTTCCATTTTTGACAAAGTAAAACTGTTGGGGTTCTGCAAGCAAAGGGAAAATAAACGGTTGCACACACTAAGGGTCAGCAAAGTGGCTGCCACCTGGCCAGCGTAAGCAAGTAGCTTTTATTGAGATAAAGAACAAAGAAACTCAAATTGCGCATGCTCAAATTATATAACTTGTTTACTTCTTGACCTTACAAGACCTCATGCTTTTACCTTGGGGTGGGGTCGATGTTTCAAGGCCTGCACTTTTCCCATGACATTGTCAACCGGATGTGTCTGGGACAAAATGGAGTCGGTGTGGCCTTTCTACATTTTTCCCCTTCTTTTTTATTTAGTTTAGGCTTTCTTACCATGTTAGAAGCTGGCATTTTAGGTATGAACAGTTAGTACAGGGATGGGATGCATTGAACAAGCCATCCCATACCAATTAAGGACAGTAACATCATAAAGAAACATTTGTTTTAGCCAACTGATATCTGGTAACCATCCTGTAAGGAAATTCCATAATCCGGTACTGAAACCTTGAGACACATGTATCTGTTTGGTAAGTTCTTGTAAATCATGAAGTTTCCCCTTGATGGATTTACTTTCATCAGGCAAATTAAAACAGCACATTTGAGCAATTTAATTACATCCATAATGATGCAATAGAAGTAGACAATCAATTACAGTACAGTTATCTAAAATTGCTTGTTGGTGCTCACTTTGTTCTTTGTTGATAATGCCATAGCTGTAGATGCATAATTAATTTGCTTTGCCATGAGATAAGCTAGTACATTAACATTGCAATTAGCCCTGGCTGCCAGGCAGGCACACCAACCAAAGAAATACCTAAAGCATAAATTTCTGTTTTGGTTAACAGGCTAATAGAAAAGTTCCCACACAGGTCAGTGAGACCAGTTGTAGACCGTTTGGTGTGAGACAGTGTGAATTCAGGAGAAGGCAACAATATAGTAAGGCGACTAAGGCAACATTTTGTGTTATAAGTTAGCAGGGATGTAATTGAAGGCACACTCTTCACATGAGAAAAACCATCCAGCAGGGAGAGGAACATGTCCATGTCCATACAATACTGGCTCATAACTAGAACAATTCCAAGTACTATTAGGAAGGCAAAGACATTGTATGGTACAATTTTCAATACAAAGACATGAGGCATTTGAAGTTGCTACATATGGAGTGAACATTTAAACAGCATTATCAGGTTTTTGAAGGGTGGGAGGGCCCCGATTTGGGTAGTCGGCATATGTTACAATTTCATTTGGAATAGTGGAGACAATGGTGTAATTACTTAGAGGGGCAGGGTCCTTGCACACCAGAATCAGACAGGACCCGAGAATGTATTTTATTTCTTTCTTTTGAGCAAGATACAAGTCAGAGACATTAGCAATTTTTGCCAACTGAACCCAAATATTGTATTCCAATCTTTCTTGGAGGTTATGGGACTCTAAAGTCCCCATGGTGGGTTACAAAACACATAGCAATAGAATACAAACAAGCATTAAAGAATTCATTGCCAAGTTGGTAAATATCACCGCAGGAAGCTTTTCAGAAGTGGATCCCTTTTCAGATGCATGCAGTAAGTCTTGTGCAGACTGGATCAGTGCCTTTTCAGCACCCTAGGTCACTGGCTGAGCAGTTGTCTTCCTGGGTCGCTTTTGAAGTGGCCAGGCTTGATTCAGGGAGGGGTGAAACTGTGGAATTGGGTTGCACAGCCTGTGGTGCCAACTTATTCCCTGCAGGGCAAATGCAACGAGCAGGAATCCACAAGGGCCTGTTCGGGATAACACAGAAGTATCCCCTCCTCCCCAGGTCAGCAGGTGCACCGGCTCCCTCTAGCCTGGGTCTGGGGTCATTTTGAAAGAAATGGAACCAGCATAGTCAGCATTGAAGGGAATAGTTAAGGACAGCAGAAAGGAGAAGTCAGTTTTGTAAGTGATAAAATGACATCAGTGAGGTCAATTCCAAGGAGTGTAAGTGCAGGGGTGTGTCCTGGAGAGATAAGAGCAGAAATAGCGTTGATAATGGGAAATAAAGTACTACCAGGTGAGTGGGGTAAATGTAACCACTCAACAATAAATACCTTGCTGTCCTGGATGGCAACAAGAGCCCTGGTGGGCAAAGGGGCTGGATGAAAAATGAGTAAGGAGAGAGGAGTCCTTCAGGACTCAATCCACCACAACTGTGGTGAATGTGTGAGCAATGCTCTGAAGGGCCTGCTGTAGAGAAGGAGAGTCAGAGATCACATCAGCAGGATCTGTGTGACCCTGTAAAGCATCAAAGAGAGGAGATAACTGTTGAGTGGTCAAGGGAAAATAGGGTCTTACCCAATTAAGGTAGAGACAGCAGAAGCACACAGCCAGGAGGATCTGAACATCAGCCATATGGAGTTCCGTCTGCTCGCCTGCCAAAGGGTGTGATAGCATCCTGGCAGAGATGCCAGGTGTGAGGACAGAGATGGGGGTTCAAGGCTCCACATGTAGCAATTTGCTTATCTTTTCTCAATCCTCCATCATGAGCGTTCCTCCTTCAGGATACCACGGACAGTAATCATGAATTTCTTGCAAAAGTCATACTAAATTGCACTCAGGGAGCCCAGGGACCACCTTCTTTGGGGAAAAAGCAGTTCTGCCTTCTTTCTGCTGTGCTTTGGACAGGGAATTCCCCATGACTTACCCGGGAATTTTCCGAAGAAAATGAAGTAGATGGGTTGCAAGTTGTGTCCCACCCCAGGGACACAGTGAAGGCAAGTCACCCTTCACAGTAGACGTCTCCATTGTTGAGTACCCTGTTCAGGTGCCAGATGTTGGGGTTCTGCAAGCAAATGGAAAATAAAGGGTTGCACACACTAAGCATCAGCAAAATGGCTGCCACATAGCCAGCCTAAGCAAGTAGCTTTTATTGAGTTATAGAACAAAGAAACTCAAATTGCACATGCTCAGATTATATAACTTGTTTACTTCTTGACCTTACAGGACCTCATGTTTTTACCTTGAGGTGGGGACGATGTTTCAAGGCCTGCACTTTTTCCATAACATTGTCGAGATGCGTCCAGGACAAAATGGAGTCAGTGTGGCCTCTCTACACAAAACAATCCCATGAGTTTTTAAAATCAAAATTCTAGAGCTCTGAAAAGGAATTTAAAATTAGCAGAACTCAAGCTAGACAGATAGTGATGTCATGTTCTTCCTGCCAGGTCATTCCAAGGCCTATTCCTCAACAGGGCTGCAATCCTAGAAGACTTAGAACCAATCAGTTATGGCAAATGGATATTACCCATATAGCCTCTTTTAACAAACTTAAGTATATTCATGTCACTATAGATACAGTCTCACATATGATCCATGCCACCTGTCATTCAGGTGAATGAATAGAGTCAACATGTCATACAGCATTGTGTGTCAGTATTTGCTACATTAAGAGTACCATGGAAAATAAAGATAGAAGTCCTGCCTATATTATCAGGCATTTTCAGAGTTTTCTCAATAATTGTAATAAAAACCATGTAACAGAGAACTCTATAAACCCCAAGGTCAGACAATAATTGAGGGCACTCATTTTAAATTGAAAAATCAGCTAGCTAAACAAAAGAAAGGAGGAATACAAGTCCAGAACTCTCCTCAAATGTGTTTAAATTTAGCTTCATATGTTCTAAACTTTCTGAATCCTGCTCCTAATTCTGATTTGCCACCAGCCTTGTTACATTGGGCACAAGAAACTACCCTTGCTCAGGGATCTTTAGCCCCTGTAACTGGGCAGAACCTCCAAAAAGGTGCTTGGAATGGTCCAGCAGCACTCTTAAATTGGGGAAGAAGATACTTATGTATTCTCACAGGGGACAGAGAAAGATTATGGATTCCATCCTGATGTGAATGTTCAGGGACTGGCCAGCTCCACAGGGGATCATCAGCATCTCTCTCAAGCACAGAGAGACCTCAAACCACTGGTTCGCACCTCCTAGAGCCTAAGCATCAGGACTCCTCCTCTTACCTGATGGAGAAAGACTTACTAGCATCCATCAGAACAGCACCTTAATCAGAATTCAACCCACCTATGCAAAACATTGAACACTATACTGAGACTGCAAAAATGAACCTGGAAGCACATTGTCCACTGTCCAGGGAAGGCCTGCAGCAGACTATTCATCTGATTTGCCACCTAATTAATAATCAGCGTTTAGTTCAATCACCTGAAAAAAAATTTTTTTTGCAAAGTGTGCTGTCCTAACTGCTTCAGTGTTCACCCCCTACACATAGTTAATATTGCTTTTAACAGTCTGTCCCATTAACAGGAACAGTTACATGTGGCTATAAAAATAGCAGATCTTGCCATCAGATATGACTATCCTATAAATATGGCTATCAAAACAACAATGAGTAAGCTGAATGGCTGGAAATTCCAATCAGCCCATCAGCTTACAATCCACAGAAAAAGATTTTATTTCTTTTAATTCTTATTACAAGAGATCTCAGTTAATAGACTTACAAAAATGTCTTGATTAGTCTATTTATACTTAAAAACTATGAAATAGTCATTGCAATTTAAATTGGCCAAATATATCTGAGTGCACTCTGATTTTGTAAACTGTTTTGTGTGTTTTTGTTTTGTTTGTCTTTTCCGTAAACAGCTTTTCTAATTGAACTCAGAAAAAATTTTTCCCCTTTTTTGCAACTTTGAATTTTTTGAGGGACCCTTCAGGTTTGGAGGAACTACTGGACAGGATTCCAGTTGATGAATAAGGAAGAAGCTGTCTGGAGAAATTTCTCCAGTCCTTGTTCATTAATAAGGGAGCCCCAGTAATCTCCATAACCTTATGTGAGACACCTCAATAAATTTTCTTTAATATATCATTGTGATATGCTCACATTGGTCATTGTCAAAAGATTAAATTTTCTAGACAATAAGGTTCTTATTTAAAGGTGCTCTGATACAAAGGTTTTCATGTAGCTATGACGATTAATTTTTACTAACCTCATGATGTATTAAATGAGTTCATGCCTTCAGATGTACAGGTGTCCCAAATTGTAAAATGGGGATTATTTATGGTAACAGACTTTTGTCATATCCAGACCTCTGCCAGTTCCAAAAACTTATGAGGTTTGCATTCCACTAATGGTCAATAAATTAGATAAAAGCTTCTTATGTGTTAGATATGGATGACTGAACAAAAGGGGTATTTTATGTCAAAATGGAAATTCAGATTGTTACAAAAATGTCATAATTATCATGACACAATAATATGTATAGTTTTGATTTCTAATTTTCCGTGTAAAATATGCAACTGTTAACATACTGTGGAGATTTAAATGCTAGCACATCCATGGTTGATGAAAAATAACAGTTCATTTTATGTTGTAAGATGCTTGATATTCAGATAAGTAGTAACATTTAGCTTACTGCCTTCTTACACTGTAATATTATCAATCTTTTCTTCTGATGTTCAACAACTGAGATTTGGAGATCAGAGACTAGAAAGATAGACAGGTTAAGATGAAAGCCAATATTTTGGCCCAGCCCTCTGAAGACAATAAGGACCCAGGACATGAGAGAACCTCAGCTGCACATCCTATATTTGGTTAGTCCCAGATCTTCTGATCAAAGAGTTTATGGGACCACAGAGGAAAGTGATCATCAGAGTACAGTGTGCCTATGGAGAGTCACAAGGAGAGTAAGGTCTCACAAGCTTTTATGGAAAGCAATTTGATCAAGCAATGGCCATGACTTATCCAAATGGTTAACACTGACTGGTGTACCAAGAGGTGGTGTGTGTGGTTCCAAGGTAATTCCTGAGGAGATTTAACTGACCTTAATAGATTGCAAAGAAGTTAAATTTTATTAACACAGGTCTCACTTTAGCTTGGTCTTAAATACCCAGCAGAAAAGTATGTACAAAACATGTATGTCCTCTATGCTGTTTCAGCAGCTTCAATTAAAAAAACAAAAAGGGGGCTATGTTGGGGACCACAAATTCACACTGCCTGGTTTTGTATATTTCCCTGTGGGATGAAAGGAGGGATTGGGATAACTGATATACCCACCTAGAACTCCCATTGACTTCGAAGCATAAGATCATCTACACATTCGTAAGTCATTTGAAGCTTACACTCAAGGACAAGATATTTCTAAGCATAAGATCATTTACGCCTTCTTAAATCATCACAGGATTATACTCAGGTCAAGACACCTCAAACATAAGATTATCTACACCTTCTAGAGTCAGAGTCTTTGGATGAATCATAAGCCTTTGCTAACTTCACCTATAACTGTGGGATGTATTTTATGTCAAAATGGAATAAATAGTGGCCATTGTTGATTTTTTATTACCCTGTTTTGAAATCCTGTATCCTTTTCACTGTTTTGCTTTGATTGGCTTTATTCTGTTTTGTTTGGTTTTATTTTCTTAAAAGTATGCTTTCATTCTTTTATTTTGATTGGTTTTATTGTTGTGTTTTGATTTTATTATATCTGATGGTATGGACAGCTATTTTGAAGAAGAGACATTGTGGTAACCATTGTTGATTTACATTGCTTTGAAATCCTGTGTTGCTTTCATTGTTCTGTTCTACTTAACTTTATTCTGTTTTGTTTTGTTCTCTTTAAAATAAAAAAATGAAAAAAAATATTTTTGTGTCTTTTTTAGACAGGGTCTCACCGTGCAGTTCAGGCTGGCCTTGGGCTCACTTTTTTTTTTTTTTTTTTGGTACGGGGGATCGAACTCAGTACCTTGCATTTGTGAGGCAGGTACATACTCCACTGAGTTAAATCCCTGGTCCATCACTTTGTAGCCCAGGATGGTCTTGAACTTGTAATGATCTGCCTGCCTCATCTTCCCAAGTGCTGGGATTATAGGAGTGCGCCACCACACCAGACTAAAAAAAATTAAATTAACATGTTCCTGTACATTGATTCTAGAATGTTATTTCTTGTGCAATTGGGTAACTTTGTAATATAAACTTGAAGTCCAGGTTTGTGATACCTCCTCCTTTGCTCTTATTGTCCAGCATTGCTTTTGCTACTCTGGGTATTTTCTAATTCCATATAAAGTTTAGGGTTGTTTTCTCCAGTTTCGTGGAAAATGCTGATTGTATTTTGATTTAGGATGTTACTATATGTGTGTATTAGTTTTAGAAGTATGGCTATTTTAACAGTATAGGTCCTGGCTCTCTGGGAATAGGGAATCTCTTCATTTTCTTGTGTGTTCTTTGATCTATTTTTAAGAGTACTATAGTTTTCATTGTATAGTAAGTCCTATTGTGAACTTTCAGAGATACAAATAGACTTTACACTACAAACACTGGTAGATAGGAAAAAAATCACAGCTTACATGTCTGCCAGATGTTGTCACAGTTGTGCAGCTGTGCTTAAAAGTAAAAATAGTTTATTTATAGTATTTGTGAGAATGTTTGATTTTTTATGCTTTATATTTTGTATTTGTTTCAAAGGTACATAAAACTCATTTTGAATGAATTTGGCATACAAATACCCTCCTGGAACATAACTCACATAAGTTGGGACTTACTGTCAAGGTTTTTCACTTCCTTCTTTAGGTCAATTCCTAAATATTTAATTGTTCTTGATGCAGTTGTGAATTGTCTTGCTTTCCCATTTGCTTTTTGGTTTGTTCATTTTCATAGTACAGGAATTCTATTGATGTTTCTGTGGTCATTTTGTATTTTGCTAATTTTTAAAAAAATATATTTAAAGAAAGACTAAAAAAACAAAAAATGGGTAGAAATAATATGTACTTTCAAAGAAAAAATAAACAGTAAGAAATCACAAGTTGATGATTACAGATTGTCCTCTTAAAGATAGTTATTCAAGATACTGAAGTGGAGCATATAAAGTGGGAATTCAAACAGTGAGACTGCAACCAGTTCTATTGAACTATCCAACAAAAACTTGGAAATATGGTTATCAATCCTATGTATTTAAACATACATGCAGTTATCCATATCTTCAATTATGTTGAGATTGAACAAACCCAAGCAAGCTAATATCACCCTGAACAAAGAATAATATTATTGCTGGGTTTCACGTTATGACACTCCAGGATCAATACTTGGTACTTTAGGGTCTCTTTTCCTTCAAAGTATTTGTTCATTTCATCATGTGTAATAAGATTAGTTCTCATAAACTGTTTATAGGTTCTACACATGCATGAATATTAACATATATTTTTATCCTTTCTATATTAGAGGGAGAAACAAAACAAAGCAAGACAAAACAAAACATATTCCTATACACACATGAAATGAAAAAGACATATAAGACCACTGTACAGGGAGTTCTACCATAGTTCCTGTGTTGTCTCTTGTTATCTTCAATAGAATTGGCTATATCATCAGACATAGTATAATTGAATATATCAGTACATAACAGTATTAATAAAAACATAACTTTTTATATAGTATAAAACTTCAAAAACAGGCAATAATCAAACCATAATGTGTATCGTAGTTAGTCTTGTCATCTTCAGTGTAGTTGCCTATACTCTCAGACTTGATACTATCAATCATGTCAGTTTTGAATAAAATATGTCAATACCAACAGCAATAAAACAAATCAGATTTAACTAAGATCAGTCATGGTAAAACAGTATAAGTCATACAGGGCTTCCAGATTAAGTTAATAGGAAATTAAAGATGATTACTGTGCTATATCCTGATGTTTTTGGGATAGCTGTCTGTGCCCTCAAATCTAATGCAAGTAGACAAACAGACAGAATAAAATCTATCTAAGCAGAGTGATGCAAGTAATGTGGGTTTTAAATTCTGATACACTGTTAACATCTTCTGTCATCTTTTTTAAGACTCTCCCTCCCCTTTAACTTCCCCAGGGTACACTGTGCATTTTTGGGTCTGATCAAGACCCTTGGTTTTAAATCAGGGGTGGGGGGGCAACCTGCTATTTACCTAAGTGGTTCTGAACCTTCTCTCTCCTAGACTTGATCTCTAATCATATTCCTTTATCTTTTAAAGTCTGTCTTTCCAACCTATTCACAAATACTAGTCTAGTTGCCCCCCATTACTCTCTGGTTCTCTTTCCCATAGAGCATTATTTTCTCATATTTGATTTTCAGTCCATGTACTCTTTTTCATGTTAATTATATTTCCTATAAATAGCATCTCGGTGGACTCTACCTCCTGATCTACTCTATGTGTGGTTCTTTTTTTTTAATTTAGTGTATCAAGGCCATCTATATTAAAGACTATAACCAACCTCCTCTGCCTCATTTCTGTCATGCTCTTTTTTTGCCATCGTCTGCTTTTCTTCTTCATTCTGTTTTCTGCTCCATTCATTGAGGACTCTCTGCCACTGTTCCTGGAATCCTAGTACTTTTCTCTCTCTCTAGAATGCTCTGCAGAACTCTCTGTAGAGTTGGATTGGTAGTTGCGAATTTCCCAAGTTCCTCTTTGTTTTGGAAGCATCTTGTTTCTCCATCAATTTCTAGAGACAGTTTTTCAGGGTATATCAACCTGGGCTGGACGTTATTTTCTTTCTGGGCTTGAAATATTTCACTCCAGGCTCTTCTTGACTTGATGGTTTGTGCTGAGAATTCTGTCATTATTCTGATGGGCCTTCCTTTATAGGTGATCTGTTTCTTGTGTCTAACAGCTTTTAATATTCTGTTCTCATATTGAATTTCTGGAATCTTGATTATTATATGCCTGGGTATAGCTCTGTTTTGATTGTAGCAACAGCAATTAAACAAATCAGATTTAACTAAGATCAGTCATAGTAAAACAGTGTAAGTCATACAGGGCTTCCACATTAAGTTAATAGGAAATTAAAGATGATTACTGTGCTATATCCTGATGTTTTTGGGATAGCTGTCTGTGCCCTCAAATCTAATGCAAGGAGACAAACTGGGACAGAATAAAATCTATCTAAGCAGAGTGATGCGAGTAATCACTTGTAGGTTGGAGTTGTAGGCTGGAGTTCTGTATGCCTCATACATTAGAATATCATTTCCTTTTCCTATGTTTGGGAAGTTTTCCTTACGTATTTCTGTGAATAGCCTTCATTGTCCCCTTGTTTGTACCCCAGCTTCTTTATTCACATTCTTTATTCTCAAGTTATAGATCCTCTTGTCATTGTCTAGCCTTTGTATTGTTACTGCTTGTTTCCTTGTTATTTTTAAAAAGTTTTCCCTTTCATACTCCCACATTGCAAACCTGTCCTCCAGTTTGGATAATCTATCCTTAGTTTCTTTCAAGCAGTTTTGCCATCTTTCCATAGAGTTTTTAATTTCCTGGTAATCTCTTTGAATCTGCTTCATGTATTCTATATTTTTTATAATTTTCATCAAATGGTTCTCTCCATTGTTTGAGTTCCTCTCTTCTTCTGTCTGTGTCTTCTTGAGGGGTGCTTAGCATATCTTTTATTAATCTTCTTGTATCTTGCTTATTACTTGCCTTAGTTGGCTAAATATTTCCCTTTTGAACTTATCTATGAGGTCCCAAAGATATCTCTTTATGTCCACTGGTGCGGTGTCTGATATTGCATGCTTGCTGTTCTCATTCTCCTTTGTATTTACCTGTCCTGTGTCAGTGTTCTCAGGGTTGGGACCTGGGGACTTTTTGTTGTTGCTTCCTCTTCTCATCTTTTTTGTTTCTTCCAGGAGGCCCCAGTTTCTTTCTTTGTTGGTTTCAATTCTTCTGTAGCACACTGGCTAGGTGACCCTTCCCACTGAAGTGTGCTAGTGAGTTGCAAACAGGGGCAGTGTATGCTAGCCCCTTCCCTCTGGGTCAGTTAACCTGCTGAGGCCTTCACTGCATTAGTGTGTGCCCCTGCTGTAGGTAACTGATTTCAGATAACCTATTGGGTTTCAGCCAGGTAGTATGACCCAGGCCAAGCTCACTCCACCAATTCCATTCGGGAAGGGAACAAGTGACAGAAGTCACTGCTACCCCTTGTTCTTGCCAGTCCTGCCTGGTCCTAGAATGTCATCTGTTGGAACCCCCTTTCTCTTTGGAATGGTTTTATTCCCATCACTCACCACAGGTCAATGCAAGTTCCTTGCTAGCTCAGCTCTCAGTTTGGCTCACCGACCGCCAACCTCAGCGTGACTGTGTTTCCAGTGATTCAAAGTGGCAGGATTTCGGACGGCTCAGTAAGTCGCCACCGCGCGAGTTCGGATGCTGCAGCGGAAGCACAGAACCTTGTAATGGCACCAGGACTTTATGTTTGGTTGGTTCTACTCACCTTAGTTTCTTCTTGGGATGAGAGAATTCATCTCCCTCTGTTCAGGACTTCCCACACTGTATTATGTTGAATTCTAAGTTGACTATCTCAGGGAACCTCTGTAGCCTGCTGTTATCTATCCACCATCTTTGCTCGATCTATTTTGCTAATTTATTGAATTTGATCATTAATTCTAGAGATCTTCTGACTGAATTTTGGGGGTCTTTTATCTACAGGATCATGTCATCTGCAAATAATGACAATGTGACATTCCTTTTGTATACATATCCTTTGTATTTCTTTCTCTTGCCTCATTGGTCTGGATAATATTTTGACTACTGTTTTTATCAGGAGTGGTGATACTGGACATTTTTGTCTTGTTGCTGATTTTAGAGGGAATGTTTTCAGCTTTTTCCCAGTTAATATATTGGCAGAGGGTTTATCGTAAATGGATTTTATCAGGTTGATATAAGGTTTTCTTCTTAATGAGATGTGCATTTATAGCCCTCACTTTTTCACAAATTTTAGACTTAGGCTGTAACCTGCCATCTGCCTTCCATTTATCCATATTCGTGACTAACTCACTCTAATACTGTTAACCATGAGTAACACCTTTATAAACACTAGTTTCCTTATACAAATCTTTTCTCTGTAAGATTGTTAGTTTCAGTATGTTGTATTTGTTAGTGAGATCAGTCACATGAACACCACCATCACATTTCTCCACAGTTTCATCTTTTTGATTATGATTCTTTCTTTCTCTTCCCTTTCTTCCTTAGCTCTTTTCTAGCTTGGGAGCATCTGATGCAGTAATAATAACAATCATATAAAACACTGACTGAAATCATGTCCACAAATAAGTGCATCTGGGCTCAAACTGATGCTTACTACATATACTTACATGTGCTTTTCTGACATGGTGAGTCTTTGTTTACAACTACACAAGAGATCACCCTTTGGGTCATAACTCAAAACTTTGGTTTTAAGTTAAACCTGAAATTCCACTTGTAATCCACATTGTTTATATGTGAGGCTAATAATAACTAAAGGTTCCACTCTATTTTATTCAGGATTTTATGGATATTGGATTTTGTCAAAGTTTTTAATGTGTCCACTGAGATGGTCATGTGCTTCTTGTCTTTGCTTTGTTTATGTGATGCATTGCATTATTGATGTGCATATGTTGTGCATCCCTGAGATAAAGCAAACTTGATCTTGACGTATAATCTTTTTGATGATTTGTTTTATTGTGTTTGCCAGTATCTTGTTGAGGATTTGTGCATCTGTGTTTGCTGAAAGATTGCTTGTAGTTTCCCCTTTCAATTGAGTCCTTGTCTTGTTTGGAATCATGATAATTCTAGCTTCTAGGAATTATATGCAGAGTAGTTCTTTCCCTTTCATTGAGATTATAGAATTTGAGGGGTATTAACATCTTCCCTAAACTAACTGTAGAATTTGCTGTTGAATGCATCAGATTGTGAACTTTCCTTGGTAACATTTTTTAAATTACTATTTCAACTTCATTGTCTACTTTTGGATTACTCAAGATCTTTATATCTTTTGATTCAGTTTTGGTACTTCACATGTACCTAGAAATTTATATATTTCTTCTGAAACCTCCAATTTTGGGGAGTACAAATTCTCAGTGTAGTTATTACTTATGTGGATTTTGGTGATGTGTGTTGTGATTTCATCGTTATCATTTCTGATTGCATTTATTTGAATCTTGCTATCTATTGGTAAGCTTACCTAAGGGTTTATACATTTTGTTTATTCTTTTGAAGAATCAGATCTTTGGTTCATTGAATCTTTGTATTTTTTTTTAGTCTCAATTTCACTAACTTCTACTCTGATCTTTGTTTCTTTCTTGTAAGAGCTTTGAATTTAGATTGTTCTTGTTTCTAAGACCTTGAGGTGCATCACTGAATTATTCATTTGAGTTTTCTTTGTTTTTGTTTTTGCTTTTTTTTTTGCCTTTTTAAAAATATGGGCACACACAGCTAAAAACTTCCCTCTTAGACCTGTTTGCATTGTGTCCAGTAGACTCTGGTGTGTTGTACTGGCATTGTTTTTTAGTTCTAGGAACTAATTTCGTCCTTGATTTCTTCTGAGACTTATTGGTTATTTAAGGGGATATTGCTTAATTTACATATGTTTAATTTCTGTGGTTTTTTTCATCATTGATTTCTAGTTTCAATGCATTGTTTCCTAATAATATGCATGTCATAACTTTGATTCTTCCAAGCTTACTTAGCGTGCATTGTGGGATAGTATGTAGTTTATTTTGGTGAAAGATTCATGTTTCTTTATTTTTAGAACTAACAAAAAAGATAAAAGCAATACAGAATTTCAAAAGAAATAGTAGAAAATTAACACTAGTTAATATACTGCACACTGCTATCTTAAAAATAAATGTTTAGTCAGGTGTGGTGGTGCGCTCCTGTAATCCCAGTACTCAGGAGGATGAGGTGGGAGGATTTTTGCAAGTTCGAGGTCAGCCTGGGTTACAAAGTGAGCTCAAGGCCAGCCTGAACTGCATAGTGAGACCCCTGTCTCAAAAGGAAAAAAAAAAAAAAAAAAAGAAAGAAAGAAAGAAAAAAGAAAAGAAATTATTTAGATTATAAAATTTAGTCACAAAAAATAATCAAACAATGAAAACACAAACTGCTCTTTTTGATGAACTTATAGAGATTAGTAGTCTAGTTATCTATTTTGTATATATTTACATATACACATTTATATGTATTCTTATATACATATAATATTTTTCCTTTTGTCTTTTCTCCTTTCCCCATCTGTTTTTTTTTTTTTTTTTTTGGAACCGGGGATCGAACTCACAACCACCTGCCTGCCAGGCAGACACTTGTGCTGCTGAGCTAAATCCCCAGCCCTTCCCTGTCTCAATTGTTCTTTCATATTGAGTCCTTTCTTTCTCTTTTATTTTTGCAATATTATTGTACATTTTGGATCTGATTACTCTTTCAGTTTCTTTTACATTAAGGTGATATACAATATTTACAGATATGAGTTTGATATATTTCACTAGGGTCTCAAGTTATATCTAGATTCATGCAAAGGCTTGAATTGTTTTGTGCCTTGGTTTTGGTTGGCAAGAAATTTGAATATAACATATCCTCATGTGCATCCTCCTCCTAAAAATACAGTGCACAAAAACAAGCACTGTTGCTTTGTGGTCAACACTGGTTAATCTTTCAACCTAAATGGTACACTGCAATGATTAATTCTAAGAATTGTGCCTCAGTATTTTCTGCTATTTCATCATTTCATTTAGTTACGGTGCTAGCCAAAACTGGAATGTGTGTCATCTTCGAGCCAAAGCCTCTCCTAATAGCTCATAACAGACACCTTTGACAACATTCAGGATTAACTCTTCATCAATAGTAATGGGCTTCTTAGCTTTAACAATGTGGTTAGCCAGTAAGAAAGACACTCTCGATGCAAGCATATTTAACAAAGGTATGGCCTTTATAATTGCTTCTATTCTTGCTGTTCACTTTTTTACTTTGAAAAAACAAACCTTGAAAATGCTTGTTTTTAATGCACTGCACCATGTGGTGAGGCAGTGCTGAGATTTCATGACTTCATTGGTTTGGCAATCGCCACATATTATGCAAAATTCCTGTAGAAATGTGAATCACCGGTTGTAATAAGTCTGTAATTTAAGTATGACTCTTGGTTTTTTTCCTTTAAATGCAGCTTTCTTTTTGTTGGCAGTCTCAGCATCTCCTCTGTCTCATCATTGTTATTTTTATTGGGGCTTTTAGTGGTGATGTATTTTGACTAGGATTACCTTGGGGACTTACCCAAACTGTGATTGAGATAAGGTTGCAGTGTGAGAAAGAGGCATAGATAGAAGTGGTAAATAAATGGGACACATACAGACTAAAGTAGGTGTTGGAGTTGGACTTAGGGTCTGTCATCAGATGCAGTATAAAACTGAAGTACATCAATCCACTTGCCACTGTAAGTCCTGCCATTAGATACGACTTAATGGTTATTTGCCACTCACTAATAGAGTTTTGAGATCAGTCTGCAATGAACTGATAGATTATGGTCTCTGTGAGGTCAAAACTCTCTGCTCATATTAATATTTATTTGCAGTCACTATCCAGAACTAGTATCATTGCCTTGGCTCCACCTCAGATTATCAAGCGCACAACCTAATACACCCCTTGCAGTGGTAGTTCACAGGAGGGTTTGTATGCCTGCATATCTGACAGGAAGTGGATCTTAGGTGGTACTGTGGGCAACTAAGGGTGGCCATAAATACAGATGATTTGATTGCTCATCTATTGTTCACCTCCTGCTGTGTGGCTTAGTTCTGGTACTGGTCTATGGCCTAGGGGTTAGGAAACCCTGCCTTATAATGCATGTCTCCAATGACCTAAGGACTTCCCACAAAGCCCCAATTCCTAAAGATCCCTCAAGTTCTCAACAGCACCACTCCAGGGATCAAGATTTTAACACATGAACTTCAGGGATGCATTCAGTATCCAAACTGGAATAGGTATGTATCTAGGTGTGGAATGAGCGGTTTATATGGTAATCACATTTTTAACTTCTTGAGAAACTGCTAAACTGTTTTCCAGGGTGGCTGTACCATTTCACATCCCCAAAAGATGGCATGATAATCCTATTTTACGTTGTTAACATTATCTACATTGTTGTTTTTATTTTAGTAATTCTAGTGAGTGTGAAGTTGTATCTTACTATGCTTTGCCTGTCTTTGTATTTTATTTGTGTTCTGTAATGGCTAATGATATTGAGCATGTTTTCATGCGCTGATTGGTCATCTGTGTAACTTCTCTAGAAAAAAATTCATCCAAATCCACTGCTCATATTTTAACTGGATTGTTTTCATTGTTTATTGAAAGTGTCTTTATATATTTTGAATACTAGTCTCATGAGATACATGGTTTGTAATATTTTCTCCAAT